GGGTTGCCGAGCCCTGCCATCACAAGCAACCCCATCATATAATTGCACCCATAAACTTGCCTGGCTCTCTCTCAAACTAGGTTAGTTGCCCCCACAACTACTATTGGGTGACTGTTCCTCACAGAAAGATGGCAGGCAGAAACCATGTGTGTGTATATATACCGATATACATGGGTAGTATAGACCTGGCCTTAGTGTTCCTTGGTCCTATGGTGTTAGATGTGTCCCTTTTTCAATGGTTTGTCTCCACCTACTGGCAGGCAGAAACCACGTTCCATCTTTCTGGATGGTTAACTAGCTCTTTGCTTACATGAATAACAAACTTGAACCTTTTTTCTTTCTTTAGGTACAGATTAACTGGACCAACTTCTGCCAAATGTGTGGTTCTGGGAAATAAAGTTGATTGGGATAAGGAGGTTCCACTTTGCGAAGGTAAACTAATCTAATGGTCTTAAGAACAGTTCATGTCTGGAGATGGTGCAGCATAGTTGGTGCTTCAGAGGAGTCTGTTTCTTTGCCATTTAATCCAAATGGCAGTTGACTGGGGGAGGAATGAAATTATACTGTGGTTCTTCATGGTGTTTGGATAACTCCTACAGAATCAATTTTTTTTTAAAGTCCCTTTCAGATTGTTCACCTGGCACTGTTTAATATGCATAATCCAACAGGCCTCATGGCTCCTCTTCACTGTTGTATCTGTGTAATCCTGCTGTTCACAAAGGCCGTGTCTACACTTGCAAGTTAGAGCGCATTAAATCAGTCCTGGGCACCCTAACTCCTGAGGTATTCACACTGGCAAGGCACTTATAGCGCCTGGACTCCACAGCTGGAACACCCCTGGTAATCCACCTCCATGAGAAGCATAGAGCTTGATGCGACCTGGCTGAAATGCCAGGGTGTCAGTGTGGAGGGCGTGTTGCGTTACTTTGCTGTAATTGGCCTCCGGAAACATCCCATAATCCCTTGAAGTCAAGTGGCCACTCTCGTCATCGTTTTGAACTCGGCTGCAGGCATGCGCATATCCCCTTTCAAAGCTCCATTTCTGACAGCCGGCATGCTTATCTGCTCCGGGACACACAGCAAAACATTACTGTGGAATGCTCCTGCTGCAGAGGCAGGCGTGTGCATGTGAGAGAGGCAGGGAGTGGGGGCTGATGTCAGGGTTTCCCCTTTCCCCCTGCTGCTGTCATCTGAACTTACAAGACAGCATGCTGACACACTCTGTCCCCCCAAAAC